ATCAATAGCTTAATGAACTCAATTATTTTATAGTACGCATACGTCAATAACCTTTTATTATTTTACATAACAATAAACATACGAATTAGAGCATGCGATTGAAAGAATAAATAAAATATATCAAAATACCAACAAAAAAAATTTAAGATGGTATATTTGATATAACTGTTTGAAGTTATGATTTTCCCTCCTTGAATATGCCTCGCTCACAAGATTTTCTCTTAAGTTGTGTACATTTATTATATGTTATATTAACCATTTAGCCAAAGCTACTTCGTCCTGTAATTCTTGACCCGATCTTAATCTAAAATGAATTGTTCAGAATAAAAACTGAGCCAATTTGTAAACATGAAGCTTACAATAAGATGTTTTGCGATACTAGAGAGAGTAATGAATCAAAACTCTTATCTAGTAAATACCCACGCATTCTTTAACAATGACTTTCAATACACGACTCACATAAAAGTAACTCGCATATATTACTGTTAAATCATTTCGTCAAGTTTTAATGTCGGAATAAATCTGTCTTTTGTGGAGGAAATAGTTAACTAGAACTGCTTTAATAATCGTAAAAAATAAAACTTCATCGACTTCCGCGTCTTAAATCTTGTTGGGATGTCTTTGTTTACGGTTTAATAATTCTTTCTGAAGCATTAAAATGATATTTGTATCTTGTTTAGATAATTGAGTTATAATGTAGCAAATAGGAATCCGGTTTACTTAAACCGCAAAACGATAAAAAATAAAAACAATCCCAACCTGCTCATACGATCGATTTTAATTGGAAACAGGTTTGGCTGGCCGAACGTTTTTTTATAAAAATAAAATACATCGAGAAAAGCAATTTAGGATATTAAACGGGAAGAATGTAAAAGTGTTTAGGTGTTGAGGATATTTCAGATTAAAATAACCACTAATCTTTAAAGATATTATTATTTAATACCAAGATAAACACATAGTTTTGCTCCATCTTTTTTTTATATGATAATTATTTCAATAGTTCATAGGTAGTGTAATACCTTTTTACGGAGTATTATTGCTATAACTGTTAAAGTGAAAAGATATTTTGCAGTAAAAGAGACTAATTGCTTTAACATATAAAAAAAAAAAATATTGTACCAATATAATCTACAAACTTTCCTCAGATCAACGACCATTTAACAGACTGAATAATGGACTTAAAAGACTAATACAAAAATTCAATACGACAAACTATGATGCTTACTTACTATGATGCATATGACTATGATGCAGTCTATCAACTGATGATGGAAGTTTGTGGAAGCATATAAGAATTTGTTAAAACATCAAGAGGTGTCTGTACCCCTGTGAAAAGAGGATGTTTCATGGGCTTTCTCGGTTAGGGAAAAATCTGAACTATTTGTTGACTATCTATCATCTGTATTCACACCATTTACTGACTTCACGAAAACAGAACATGAAAACTTAGTACTGAATGGTCTAGATATACCACTACCGTTCCCCGACCCCAATTCAGGCCCATTATCGGAGGCCAAAACCTTCACGAAAATAGCAATAATAATGGAGTGAGATGTATGTATGTAAGTCTGGCAGCAACTAAAGGTATAGTAGTCAGCAGTACAATGTTCCTACACAAGGATATCCTCAGGTACACCTGCGTTAGCCCTAAAGGAGCGAAAAACCAGAAAGATAAGAGACATCAGAGCTCAATACAAGGTGTAAAAAGCTATCGTGCAGCAAACTGTGATTCGAATCACTCTCTCATTAGAAATAAGCTGTCAGAGATTGGAGCGAATTCACATATCAGGGGACCAAGGCTGATCAATTTTCATATGGAGACATGTCAAACATTTTTTTAAGGATAAACAGAGTTGAGATTCGTATTCAGGACCCCGAAGAATCCTCAAATACGAAGTTTCATAGCATTCGAAAAATAAAACTTTTTTTCTTCCAATTTGAACCAAGGCTAAAGGATATCCATTCGTTATACTTGTCTTAGTTTTTTCACGAAAAACACTGAAAATTTGATAACAACGGATTTTGACGAATGAGGTATCAAATGAAAGGGTATTCGATGGAGACATTAATAACAACAGCCACATCATCACGGCCACAACTGGTGGCCAATCCAAAGTACTGCGCCCAAGTCCCTTCACAGGTTGAAAAGGTATAAGTTTTTTTCGTTTAACTATATTTTTATAGTTGACATAATCGCCTGAGGATGGCAAATGTCTAATGCCACCACTGAACTAAGTCATTTTGCAAAAAACAAAATTAAAAAAAATTAGTCCTGTTGCTTTAATTTAGCCTTTATTTTCTCTAGCCTTTCTTTCTTTCTATGTATCCAACAAAACCCTACATCATGACCTTAACATCCCATTTGTCCTAGACCTTATCCCAGAAAAATTCTCCAAATTTCACCAGAACCTTACTTACCACCCAAATCCTCTTGCACAATCCCTATCAAGCATCTCCCATCCCTATAATCCTCCAAGAAGGTTGAAACGGCAGTGGCCTCGCGACCTTTTGTAGATTATATAAATTGAAGTTCTGGCAATGGCCAGATTCTTCACTCAAGACATGTGTGTATGTGGCTAAAGTGCTCTCGACCAATCTCCGCTGGCTTTAGTACCAGTGAGAGTAGCGCAGGGTTCTCCTGGAGTTCCCTCGCCTGATTGTATATAGGTATGCATGTGTTTTTTTTTTTTTTTTTTCCTTAGTTTTAATTTTCTTATTTTTTAGGTTATTTTATTTTATTGTCTATTGTATATACTTTTGATTATTATTTTGTTCTATTTATTTTATTTTTTTGTACATATGGTGTGAATGTCATCCTACCTCACTATAACCAATGTCCAACAGACAGATTGTTATAATACTCAATAAAGAAATTTAAAAAAAAAAAAAAAATTTCTCTTGAATTCACTTTTTACCCATGATATTTAAATTTCTATGTGTATTCAAACGTATTCAACTTATATCTGTATTACCGAAATCTTGGCCGATTATGATAGAGTACATGGGTCAAATTTCCACATTCAGCAAGCTATAAATTCATTATTTATCGATTACGATCATACCCTAATGAAGACGCCAACAGGTATCGAACCCAGACTACGTGCTCCACGAGCCTAGACGGTCATTACAAGAATTACGTTGGCCTCAAGAGCAGGTGACCAGAGGCACGATTCGCCCGCCCACCGCCGATATCTCAATCCTCGTCTGTCCCGCGGACCGCTATTAGTGTCCCAGGTGTTAGGAAATCTTGTGCGGGTTCGAATACCTGCCGAAAGGTCAGATCAATAATTCCAGATCGTATCTCGATTTGGGTAAAATAGGTGAATGCGAAGGTATTTTCGTTCTCGGTGGCAGATATAGGAGGCAGCGGGGCCCCATAAAGTGTACGATTCAAACGGGCTGCCTCGCATAACTAGCGGATATACAGTCACGACCGTACGAGAACTACCTCACCGAGTGGCTACTGATACGGTAGCAATACTACGCAACGCTTCTTTCCGCCATCTAGCGATATTTAACGTGAAGTATTGATTGATTTTAATTATTAAATATTTAATAATTAATTCGCCAAGTATACTAATCAGTGATCAAATGGCAAAATAATGAGATAGAGAAATCAAGTTATTTCCTAGATATTTATAATCAACCAAGGAAATCAAAATTAATTTATAATTTCATTATTTTAGTTTTAATTCATTATTTTAGTTTTAGTTCATTATTTTAGTTCATTATTTAGTTTTAAATGAACATCTTTATAAATTTACAATACGTTTTATTTTGGGAAATAATAGTCCGATTCCGATTTTTTTTTCTCATTTTGTTGGGATTTTAATGACATTTTTTAAATAATACACAAATCTTTATACCAAAAATTTTATACTTTTTTAATTATTGTTTGTTTTCTTTCATAATTTTTTTTCTCATTTTTCTCACCTATATTTTTTTTTGTAAAAAAATATAAAATAAATAGAAGAAAAATAACAATAAATAATAATCAAAAAGTATAAACAATAAATAAAATAAAATAACCTAAAAATGTAATGATTATTTAAAAGTTTAAGGAATTTTCCCCTCCAAAATAAAAAAAAAAATCGTTGATTTTCGTTTGATTTTGTTTGTCGGTTTTGAAATTCGATGATTTATTATTATTGCAAAGGTAAGTTTTAAATATTTGACACACTTTATGCTGCAACGCTGATATCTTTTGTTTTGGTTTTTTATTTTTGTACAGTTTCACATAAACTGAAGCATATTTTATATTTCTTAGCAAATCACTTATGAATACAAAAAAAAATTAATTTAGATCAATCTTAGGAATTACGTTTTATTTATTTTTCTGTCTGTGACAACGAAATTATTGTTACATTTGATATATATATATATGTTAAAAACCATAGGAGAAGTAAATCTTCAAAGTGATGGATTAATCTGGATTTGATGAATAATTAACTAGGATATTTACCAAAAAAACACCTTTGATAAATAATTTAGACTCCTTATTCGATCATAGGGATCCACGACTGGTATAGTAAATATAAAGTACTGCATCAAGCTGGATTCATTATACCACTTATGTCTAGTTAAAATAAATTTTAGGTTATAAATGAAAAATCCCACAAAAACGTCTTAAAAATTCACAAAAACAGTCTGGTGTCACCAGAACAGAAAAACAAGATTACATTCCTATGTACATGACATTTCTACACTTACAGAAAGAAAGGAGAGGTTACACAGCTGGGACTGTTATAATTAAAATTAACAAAAATAAAACAAAGGACAAATTAAAATCAACTATAATAGATAAATATTCCACGAAAATACAAACGATGAGAAGAGAAGAAAAAATAATACAAAAAAAAAAAAATAGTTTAGATTCGATGCCAGAGAAAGGTTACAACAGCTGATCACGCAAGTCAAAGTTAAAAAGCAATTTAGCTAGATAAATTAGAGTTATCCAGTATGTTAAAGTTTCAAAATCCTCCTTTGTATAAATATTAATATATTAATTAATATTAATGTCTTTAAATATTAATATTAATATTAAATCTGCAGATTATATATCAATAATAGATAATTACCAACATATATTAATAATAACTATAATTAAGAATACTTCAATTATAATTTCAAAATCCGCATTAAAAAAAAAGACCGCATTGAATAAGTTACATATAATCTCTGTTTTATATTTAACATTAAATTAAAATAGTTACCTTTACTTTTTTCTTTATTTTAATCAAATTTATCCGATTTATTATCTTGTTCGTATAGTGAATCATTTGAGTTTTTATTTAAATTAATTCAAATCGGAAATTGTTCCTATTGAATATAGCGCTGTGAAATTATATATGAAAAAAATAAATAATACACGATACGAATATCATTTCAGTTCATGGAATAAAATTTACATTTAAATGAAATGTAGGATTAGCATATAAATAAGTTATTTTGATAGTTCTTTGTTCAATCTTTACTCAGACGATAACAACTCCAGGACTGATTTAAAAATCCTTAATGAACCTAGAAGCAATCTATAACAACAATAAGCTTTAAGGACATCATAAAATAATTTAAATTGAAAAAAGATGCATCTAAAGGTCACTGTTGGTATTAAAACAAACGTTAGTATCTGCTTAATTAATGACGAGATGGGATGCGCAATATTAATTAATAAATAAATATAAATATTTGAAATAGATAATTTTATCTGTCCTATTATCCTTTGTTCGATGTTAATATTCTATCGGAAATAATTAAAATAAGTAACAATTATATATATTATCTTCAACTATTAATCTACACCTGTCTACGAACATTTGACAATCATTTGATCGTCTGATAAAAATAATGAAACTAACATGTCAGACATGAGGAAGGATAGTATGTTAAGGAAAGAGTATTAGGAGGTCTCTCATCCAGCACATTTTTAGTCTCCTGATCGTATTTATGGGCATGTCAGCTGAAGCCTTGTCTCTTATTAGTATGTGAGGATTTCCGTAAAAAATGTATAAATTCGTTGGTTAAGGGTCGTTTATGGACTATGGAAGGTGGAGGTAAGTATATAGAGTTTTGAGAAGGAGTTAATCGGGGGGTGCGGTGAAATAAATACTAAATTATAGAAATAGTATTATTTAATTCTTATGCCGACGTTTCGACCCACCTTGCAGGTCTTCATCAGGACTAAAAACTATACAAATATGAAAGGTACATAGTGAAAATAAAATAAATGAATTATAAGTAGATATTAAATAAGAAAAAGTTGTCCGATAAAGAAATAATAAGATGGTATCAGAGATATAGTGGGTGATAATGTAGTTAAAATATCAAGTATTATATATGTAGAAGATACAAACAAAAATAGAAAATAAGTATGTGTAAAAATAGAAAACAAAGGAGAATATAGTATGTAAGTTAAAAGTAAACAGATATTCTTTCTTTTTAAACTTAATATTGATAAAATTAAAAGCCGGAGACTAAGAAATGTGCTGCAAGAAACGGCACTGAACTAATGATACTGAATAAACATTTTGATTTCATGGAAAGTAAACATTGGAATCTAGAATCATTTCATTGAATTAAGGATTAAGGGTTATTGTCCTCTATATTAACATTCCTAATTGAAAACAAAGATTACCTATCCATTCATTAAAAACAATAAACCAATCCAAAGCAGAAATATTTTTAGATGAAAACATGAAAAATCAAGTGGGTGGAATTTTTTGCCTGTCAGTGTGTATTCATGTGATATAAGTTATCCAAATAATAGTTCCTGAAATATAAAAAAATTCTTTCCTGTTCCGCGATCATACCCAGCGTTGCGACAGATTGGGTACAATTAGAGCGAACAGTCAGTTTGAGTTCTCGGTTGGCTAAGGTCGAAATGACTATTTATGAGAGACACTCGCCTACACGACAGCTATTAGGCGTTTCCCAACCAAATGGTGAACAGTGTCGTCAGTATTGCGATCCCTTAATTATCCCTTGTACCCAACACAAGTACCAGTACCATTACCCAGGTACCTTTCACCCTCCTCGGGTACTCCACATCGAGTAGAGCGGTACCTTTTCGCAACCGCTTCGCTCGGGTCTAAGGCGAGTGGAGGGATCTTCTTCGAAACAAGGGAGTATTTTCTCATATTCCATTAAAGCAAAAATGTAAATGGGTAATTTCAGGATGGATTAACAACAGTAAGAATATATTTCCTAAGAGAAGTATTTGGTTGGCAAATAAGTCCTTTCGGTTTTTTTAGGGTGAAATAAACCTAACGTATTATATACATAAAATTAATTTTAATCAACAATATATTGACCATTATTTAATATGAATTTTTTCAATATTTCAAATAACTGCATAATGCCATTTTCATAGAATGTTTGGAATTTATTGTTAAAAAACTAATTCAAGTGGTTTTCGATTTTCTATTTCTTTTGTAATTTTTCCATTCATGGAGTTCTGCAGATACCGGAATAGATGGTAGTCACTTGGGCTAGGTCTAGTGAATAGGCAAGGTGTGGCAAAAGTCCACATCCAAAGCTCAATACTTCATTGCGAGTGACCAATGAGATGTGGGGCCTAGCTTAAGTGTTATCTTTTATCTTTTAGATCTGCCCCCACCACTCGCCGTAACGCGGGAAATTTAAACCTTCCCTACCTTCCCTGGCACAACCAAATACTATTAAAATAATCATTGATGTTCGGAAATTCGTACTATATTTCTTGATTTATACACATTACTGTCTTCATTTTAAATTGTTATACTTTGTAGTGGCTCATGTAAGCATAGGTAACTCGAACAAAAATCCTTAAAATTATAATACTCTCTAAATATTTTGAACGTTGACAAGGAAACTAATAATTGACCAAACTGAAGTATTTCAAAATTCGTTAATGAAGATGTCGTTTACTAAATACTGTCGAACTATAATTTCGCTAAAGACAATCATCACCTGTTCTTTTGAACATGTGGACCAATTATTTCAAAATGGCCGATTGGAACCAGTAGCAGAAGACAGAACTCTTGATAAAGACAAGTGCCAGGACGTGATCGGCCTCAACTTCTGGTTCGATGAACTCCACTGGCGGATATCCAAGGGCTACTTTCTCCAGCCTTCTCTTGTGACAGTTATTGTTCCATGAAACTGGAACACTACAGTCAGCGGCTATGTCTACGTAGTTCATGAGTAAATATAGATAGATAGGTTGATAGATAGATAGAAAGTAAACTTTATTCTGGGACGAGGTCCCTTACGAATAACAGTTATGAACAAAAAAATAAAAACTACATCTGGCCAAAAATTACATTAATCAGTATTAAAGAAAATATACAGTATCTCAGTAAAATTATATAAAAACTAGTAAAAATAACACCATTTTGAAAAAAAAAAACATTATTTAAATGAAAAACAAAACAAAATAATGTAAGCATGGGTTGATTTTTAAAATTAAAACTCAATCAATTTTAACAACCATTCATCTCAGTCAAAACCTGTTTCGCAATATTTATTTCATTGTATAACGTAATTTTGGGATGTGAGAAGGAATTGGTAAAGATGATATTTAAATGAGGTCAAGGAAGAAGCATGGCGGATATCAGATGGCAAGGAATTCCAGAAGGTTGTGGATCGAGCAATAAAGGAATATTCAAATGTCTTAGTTCTATGGGAAGGGATATAAAGGTCGGAAACACGGGATCTTGTTTTCTGGAAGTGGACCACGGGTTTGAACTGTAGAAGACTGTAGATGTAGGAAGGGTGTCTGGTGTTGATCGTTTGGAATAGGAAAGATCCAAGGAAATATTGTCTGCGTAAAGAAGGGAAGAGCCACTTTAACTCGTCGTAAAGGTGGGACACATGAGACCTCCTCGATGTACCGAAGACAAATCTTAAGCACGTATTCATGAGTCGCTTCAATCTATCCTCGAGTACCATCGGGATGCCTCCGTACACCACACAGCCGTAGTCAAAGTGGATATATATATTATTATATCTATATTACCGCTTTGTAAAGGTTATGTAAGTTGACGAATAAATACTGTTAAAATTCACAAGTTCAAGAAAATATTGGCTTAAAAAGCTAGAGCGAAAAATAGGCACTATTCTAAACCAGACTTGGGGAGTATTTAAAATGAAGTTTTTCAAAATATAAAATATATTTTTTTGTATTTTAAGAAGTAAAATATAAGATACATTGATTATAACTGTATTTACTTTAGTATAAAAACTGTATTTTATTTTAAATATACAAAATATGGTAGGCTCCCGATATTATATGCCGATCGTTCACCAGAAAGTATTTTATACTTGTTTTTTGCAATTAAAATACAAATTACCTTTATTATTTTCTGAAATTAATTAAAATAAATTTTGCTTAGGTTTCTTTTAAAACAGTGCTTGAAATGAAATTATCTATTTTATTTTTAAACAGTTTCGATATTTATATTGTATCTTATTTATGAAATCTATATTTTCAATTTGTTTCTGTAATTTAAAAAAATATATATTTAAGAGTCTCTCTTCATCTCGCCAAAAAATCTATCTCAAAAATTACTTTTAGTCTAAGCTACTCAAACAAACGTCACATTAAGTTATTAAATTTTATCTATAACACATTATTAAACTTTTTTTAAATACTTAAATAAAGTTAAACTTTTACCATGAAACTAGAACTTTATTACAAAACATTTCCTTAGCTTTTTCCATTGAAATTTTGTCATAATAAGTTTCACAGAAACTGTTAAAATGTAACTTATTTAAAATAATAAAAGTTGCGGACCCTCTTTTGTTGTTGTCTTAAGCCCCAAATAAGGTATTGAACCTCAATAGTAGTCAATATCGAATTTCGTCAATATATTGGACCGTCAAAGGGCTATATTGTAACATAAAGATAAGATATAAATATATTTATTAATTTATTGATTGATTTATGTACCGCATTTAACAGTTTTAATTACCAAATAAATGTAGTAATAAATTGACATATTTCTGCAGTGGAACATAGTAAGGATACTGAAGTTAAGTATTCATTGCTTCATTCTATCCGTTGAAAACCGTGATAAAACGTAAATAACCTACGTTATCAGATCTCCCATCGAAGGAACGTATCAGGAGCATTAATGAGTAGTTTTTGCCTTCCTGGCCTTCACCTAATGGTCAGGGGTTTCTTGATTGGTCTGTCCCAGTTATCGATGTGTATCTGCTAGGGATGAGATAACGTTATATCCCGTGACACAGACCCCTTCTAATCAAATTAATAACCTAAAACTTCGCGAATGGCTTAACTTCATAGTAATCTACAACATTTTTATTTACGAAAATTATTGGGAAAATAATAATAATAATAAAAATATTGGACTGTTTGACGTGACCGCTTACATCAAGGGATGAGCAACGCTTAAGGTTTTGTGAAAATAAAGTATTGCGTAGAATATTCGAACCGAAGAATGATGAGTTATCTGGAGAGTTCAGACGAATACACAGGCGGATCTACGGGAGGGAGGGGGCTTTCGTGCTGAATCCTCTCCTCCTCCCCAAAATGATAAAATATAACCATGTTTTTCAGAAAAAATATTAAAAACTATCTCTTAAAGTATTCTTGTTCGTGTAATTATATTGAATAGGACTTCAAGAACCACTTAAACACCATTTAATATAGGTAGTTAATTTCTTTCTTTTTTTTTCAAATTAATTATCATTATATGTATATGAAAAAAAAATCTTTCGGGCTGAAGCCCTCCAAAATTAAATCCTGGATCCACTAGTGGACGAATATGCAACGCCGAATTGTGTGAATAGTATCCGGTCAATATAATTGGGTTGATTACAACGTGGCGAATTAAATGGATGTGTAACTTTGTAACGATAGAATAGCTAAAAGATTAATATTTTCTATGGCGATTGGTAAAGATCGAGGAGTAGACCGAAGCGAAAGTGGGAAGATAGCATTAAGGCCGATCTGATTGGGTTTGGGCTGCGAAGGGTGGAGGGAGGTGTGTAATAAACGATTAGTGGTGTCAGCATCGAACCTTTGGGTGTACTGAGCCTTTTATTATTATTATTAACATATCTTTTGTTTCGTTATGTATATCGCTTTACACGAAGTAATATCTCTGTCCTATCCTTTAGCAATTAAAACGGAAGTTTACGAAAGAAGCCTGTCGGAAATCATGCGAAAATGATTTTGAAATAGGCTCGGTTTTTTCTCAGAGCTAACCTCAATGGATGCTTCTAAAGTGCTATTATCTTTTCCAGCTGGGAATTAGTGTCTGCCTTTCAACCATTGTATAACTGATTTAAATGATTTACACATACTCTCCTAATGGGTTGCAATTGTGGGCTTTCGCTCCTGGTATAATGAAACTAGGGGTATCATTTTTCGTTCGTTTGAACCTTATTAATTTAACATCATTTTTACTTTCACTTACATAAGTAAGTAAAAATGCATATATAGATATGTAATATATAGTAAGGGTAAATATTGGGAACGTGAAAATTTTTGATTCTGTGTTTTCAACGGAAATACAAGTTTTGAGTTCTCCTGATTCCAAAATAACCAAGTCCTGCAAAATGGTCTGTATGTGATCAGTCAACCTCAAAAACGAAAAGTCGTATGAAAGTGAAATCTCATATTTAAGGTTTATATATACCATGAATGCTACAGCAACTCGTCAAAATCGATTTAATAGATTTTGATTACACTCAGTATATCAGTGTATTATTAAGCAGTTTTTAAAATAATGTAGGTTTATTCTCATTGATGTTCTCTAACAGGGCTTAATTTTCAATAATAGCTTACTATGAAGTACCTTATTTTTTTATATTTGAAATAATTAACCATTCACATTAATCTTTGAAATAAAAAATAATAAAATATAAAATATGTAAGAATTTGATAATTAACTAAAGGAGAAATAAAAGTCGTGTGATGCGCACACCATAATTAAGAAATAATAACAAAGTGACTTATGAACACGTATTTATCATATATCACCTAAAAATTCAATTTAACTTAAGTTTATCAGGTCGATTGAATCATTCAGTTTAAATATTTATTTAGCATTGAGAATTAAAGTTGACTCTAAAAGATAATATTTTTTAAAAATCCTAATATTAAATTTATATATCTAATAATATAAAATTATTGAGAGAATATTTAGTTTTTGGAATAAATCTTGAATGAACTTTCTAGTCCGTGGTACAGATCCCTTTTTATGGAATTATTAATTAAATTTGAGGAGGATGAAATTTTGTAAATAGTTATCTTATCGTAACCTACAACTATTTTATTTACGAAAACTCTTGGAATTGGAACGTTGTTAATCTGGAGGGGGCAAACTTTGATTATTTAATTAGGTACTAAAAAGTCGTAAATGCCTATTTGCTTTCAACTTGTATCGTAAGATAATTTGATCACAAATTAGACTTGTTTATTGAGGAATATTACATTCTGTCTCAATAGAGATCAAACAAAACATTAATGATATATTTACAGAAAACATAAATAAATAAATTAAATAATAGCAATATAATATACTCAAATAAGAATAAAATGAAATATTGTAAAGAGAAAAATAAATAAAGGTAAGTTAAACAAATAATTTTTTTTTTGTATTGCAACCATCAGGCTCTTGGACATCAGTGTGGTAGGATAAAAAAAAACAAATAATTTAGAAAAAAATAAACAAAATGTATTTAAAAAGTAAAATAAACATTTTAGACACCGGCACACTTATTTATATTATTTACAATCAGCTTAGGGAACTCCGAACTAATGCTGCCCCCCTTGTGAGGAGGAAAATTTTTGATCAGATTTGATTTTTTTTTTTTATTATCGATTTTTATTGTATATAGGTATGTATGTGTTCTTTTTATTTATTTATTTTTAGGTTATTTTACTCTTATTTATTGTATATATATTATTTTTCGGTATAATTTATTTTATGTATTGTACATAGAGTGTGAATGTGATCTGTGAACACTATTATAAATGCCCTTGAGACAGATTGTAATATTTTTCAATAAATAAGTTTAACAAAAAAAAATTATCGATTTTAAACTCTTGTTCAAAGTGAAACTAATATCTAAAGAGAGTCTTTTTTTTTTTTAAATTATATTAAAAAATCTGTTAGCCAGAAAAATATG